CTGATTTTAATGTGAAAATATATTCAAGGTCCACAATATCTGTGTTCATTGATACAGTACAGGTTTATTTCTTAGCATAAGAGAAAATACTGACTGCCTTTTGCTTAACGGCCTTAAGCAATGGGTGGTATTTAAGCCATCTATGTGCAGAACACATTCTTGAGTAATTTTTTTTCTCTGTACTCCTTCACTCCTCTCATTTGCTGATGATGAACAAGTGGGATGTTTTTGAATACCCTGCTCATTGATTCACTCTGTGCATGTGCTAACTCCATGACTGACTCACACCTACATTCCTAGCAGTCCACGTGGCTTCACTACTCCTGCGTGAGCATGCAGCCTGCACCCAGTGCTCCCAAGGTCGCAGAAATAAGAAATAAGCATTCAGAACTTGGGGAAAACTCAGACCTGTGTTCTTGTTACAGTATTGGATCGGTGTGGGAAGAGTTCAGCCCCAGGCACATCCATGGCTTATGCTAGTGTAAAAATAAGTATAGTTGAGGAGAGGATTTTAGACTCAAATTTTAGAATTTAGTAATTCAACCTGCATTTTAATATCCTGGATATCTGAATGTAAGTGTTGTCTCCAGTACTCCCAAAACAGGGTCCCTACTTATGTGACAGTGCTATGTGCCTAATATGAGCCTAGTTTGTAACACAGCTGCAGCAAATAGAAGAGGAAAAAAAAGGGGGGAGGGAGTTTAAAAAACAAAAAGATTGAGGAGCAGGAAACGAAACTGAAATAGAGAGAAAAGCTGCACAATCCATAAGCAGGTCAAGAAAGTCGTTGTGAATCTACTAGTGCAGCAAATGAAAGCTGAAAAGAGCAAAAAGAGATGTGGAAAAAACAGATGTAGACCATGTGGGTAGCACTGTGCCTATAATGTAACCTTGTGCCTGCTGCACTGAAGTGTGGAAACATTTTGCGGAGGGATAAAATCATCTGCTTTGATTTTTTGCTTTGCAGTCACTCCCTGCTTTGTTATCACTCGTGGCTTGCACACGTGGATATCCTGAAGGCAGTATTGTTCTTCAATTGTAGCATGTTCAAATTGATAGTCAGTAATTCTTTCATGTTTTCTTCTTGTACTTGAAGGGACCAATTGTTCATCCAGTCTCGTTATTGCCTCAAACACACAGTCTACAGCAACATTTATAGCAGGTATGTATCTGTTCATCTGTCCATCATTATGAACGTAGAAGCTAATACAAATTCTAAAGAAATAGGATCAAAAATGGGCATTTGAGAGAAGCATTATCATCTTATGAGACTGAGAGGCAACATGTAAAATAAGTCAAAAATGATATTGTGATATTGTACTGTTTTCAAGTCTAGGTAGGAGCCATGCAAGAAGAACTGGAGGAATTTTGTTTTGATTTGTAATGGTCTTGGTCTCTAGGCAAACTTCTTGCATTTTCGGGTTGTTGTGCAAATAGGGCATATCTGTTCCTGCTGTTTCACAGTAAATAGATTTACGGTATGATAGACATGGCTGCTCCGGTTTCAAGGGAAAAACTCCATTTTCTTTTAGGTAAGACTCAGGGAACCCTATAAAACAGCATAGCTCCTAGCACAAAATGCTGGGAGTTCAAGCAGGTTGTGTGCAGCAGAGCTAGTGGGTTTTTTCTGGTATTGTTTTGATGTTTCTGTTTCTTTCACATCTTGGCAAAAGAATTGTCAAAATGAACGCAGCTAAGGCTGTTGCAGTCGTGAGGCTTCCGCATAAATAACCTGTTTACAAAACACATCTTTGTAGAAAGACGCAGTAGCTTTATTAGATCAACTAATAGAGTCTGACAGCAGGTTTTAATTTTGATACACAAACGGCTCTTCCACTTGAATTCGCAGTGTTCCAGGATTTGGCTGTGTCAGTGTGAGATTATTAAAAAAGGAAAGTGAGGGGAGGGAAGAAGAAGGAAAAACATCACCCAGGACCTCTGCAAAGCAAGGAAAAGGTGCAGTTCTCTACTGCAGAGTGTGCACTGTACCAGTTAAGGCATGTCAAACTGGTAGAGCAGAGAGGTGAGATTTTTGTAATCCCCTTGTTGCCTGAGGCCCTTCTTCATGTTTAAAGCCACTGTTAAACACAGGTGTTGTATCCACCCTTCAACTAGTTTGTGAGTCTTAAGTTTCTTGCAGAGGTCTGAGCCTTACTTTTTCTAAATAATAATAGTAAAAATAACAAAAATATGCCCAAGTCCTTTACTATTCAGCACACTGCCAGCCTAACAGAGGATGATATGCTTTGCCTCACACAATTCGAGTCATATCCTTTTGCCTTCCCTTCCTTCTTTTCCTTTTTAGATCATGTTCATAAATCAGACTGTTCATGTATGTCAAACTAAAGATTGGATTTTTATACTTAATTCTGCTTACAGCCTTTTTTTTTTTTGAGTGGGGGGATCAGCTATGGCAGAAGTAAAACTGTTAAGCTTTTCCATTAAAAGAACAGATTATTTTATGAATAGCATCTGACAATTATATGTTAACACGCTGCTTATAATTGTGTGTGTGTTTTGAGTTGATAGTTGTGCTTTTGCTTGTTGAGTTAGAATGTAAGGGAATATTGCATGGCTCTAATAATTCCTATCAACTTTACACTCTCCGTATAGCTTGGTTGATAGGATATAGCATAAGTGTTTAATCTTTAAACATGGGTGTCATGAGAAGTAGAATAACAGGTTTTTTGTTTTTCTTGTGTGTTTGTCATTTTTTATGAAGCTTCGTAATTCTGAACTATGTTACTGGCATGTGTCCTTTTAAAGAATAAAAATCAGCTGTCAGCCTGGGTTTGTTTAACATGATCCTCTATGAAGCCCAGCTGGCGTTCTGGGAGAAGTGGAAGACAAAAGGACAGATGTTACTAGCAAATGTTCTTTCATCTCAAGCCTAGCAGAGTACTGTGGATAAGACTTCTCAAAGATGTACGAGAACTGATTGGTCCCTGGCTCATGTCAGCTTCCCTAATTCTCCAGATGCCTCTCAGTGCCTCCCACTGATGTTTTGAAGTGGTTGGTGTTAAGTACATTGCAAAAGATAAGTCTGCAGAAACGTAGCCAGCTTTTAGTATGAAGGTTTCGTACCAAGTGCTGTAATCTTGATAAAATAGGAAAAAAAGGGTCAGTAGGCAGAAAGAGAGGGGAATACCTGATGTGCAGTTCTGCTAAAGCTCTTCATGCCGACAGCTTGGGTATTTTTTGTGCTGAGTCTGTTTTATGCATAGTCGTTTAATGCTCATGTATTAACTACCACTTTTTGTAATACCACTCGTTAACACGACACCTGGAACCATTAGCTGTTATATTGTTTAGAAACATGAGCCAGTTTGGCACTTAGAAAGCATATGCTTAGTTGACACGTGAATTTAAGTTTGTCTTTTTTTCTTTCTGTTGGTATGTTTAATATAAGAAGTGTCCTAACTACTGATTTCATCTCCTATAGTTGTAGATGGTTTGCATATGGATATCTGTATTTTACCTGTTTCCCGCAATGAGGAGTCATTTGATATTTATAGATAGTTGTGCCTTTGGGGGGTTTGCTGTCAGTATTAAAATGTGCCCTGAATTTTTCAATGTATTTTACACATGCTTCCTAGAGGAACTGAATTTCCTAATTGTAACAAGGTAAGCATGAGTGTAGTGCTCTAACAATTCCATCTCAATGAATGTTTCTTTCAGAGCATTTCCTAGGGTTATGTCAAAATATAGTAACATTAAAGAACAGGGAAATAAATAATGCTTATTAAGGGGTCAGTGGCTTTTTTTTCAGTAGTTTTAATGTTATATGTCTCAGAAAACTTTTCTACCAGTTCCTTTTTGACAGTTTGCTTTCTCTTATTGTTATTTCTGTTTTTGATGTTCATATCTGTACTGGAAACAGTGATTCTTAAATCTTAGCAAAGATCTCATTCTGTGGATAGCTTCTCACACTTTAAACCATGCTTTTAGGAAGATCAGTTTATAGAAGCATTTTAGATACTGTACACAAAAAGTAGAAATTATATATCAGGTTTACTGAGGAAACCATTTTCTCTTTGTTCTACTTTCATACAGTTTCAAGAAAACATGGGTATAATCGGGCATTTGAATGGTTTGAAGTAAAAATGTAATCCAGATGAAAAGCCTCTGTTGTGTCTATAACCTCAGAATATGGATTATTTTTTTTAAATAATGCAGAAGTAGACAGCTGTTTTCCCTCTAAAACACCTTCATATGTAAAAGCTATTTGACTCATCGTCTGCTTAGAGAAATTTTAGTTACGTTTAGTTATGTCTCATTAGTTCCATCTTTGAAAAAAAAAATATTCTGAAGATTATTCTAGCTGTTTGTCTTTAAGTTTTATGGATCAGTGATTCATTCAAAAGAAAATTAAAGATGAAATCATTACTGGAATTTTGTTGGGGGAGAGGAAGTTTCCATGCAAAATCTGATGTTATTAAAACAGATTCATTATCTGAAAATTGATTTTTTGTGGTAAATTATTCTTGGTCCAGAGTTTTTATCTTGTGCTAAGATATATTATCCAAAAAAAGTCACTTGTAAAAAGTGATCAACTATTTGCCTAGTGCTAACTGATTTAAAAAAAAGTGATATTATTTTTTAGATAGTATTCTTTTTAGAACCATTCTTGAGCTTGAGCCCTAGAAATCTGAAGTTAGGTCTTTTCCAGAAGAATTGCACAGGGGAATAATTTATACTCAAGCCTGGATGTGTAATGACAAATTCATTGCTACTCTGTCTTTATGTTTCGATATCATAAATGTAATGTGTCATTCTAGGAGAATATTTGGAAATTCATTTCCGTAAGGAAAAAGAAATACCTAGGCTAACTTAGAAGAATCTTTTTGTCTGCATTACTAAGAAGTTGCTGTTTTATGAAGAATGTGCATTCTATGAGTTCAAACAATTTATGTCTTATGTATTATTTTATTTTTAAATTTTTATGTAATTATGTATTCTGTTGTTTTGTTTGATACCCCTTTGCCATACCAATTTTACAGGTACCCTCCCAACTACCGCTCAGCCCACCAATGCCACTGAGCTCAGCAACACCACCCAGCCCTCCAGCAGCTCTACATCTGCCCCCTCTACTGCTCAGACCGTCCAAACCAGCAAGGCAATAGTATCTACCACAGGTTCATCAGTTACATCTTCACAACTCAATGTTACGATGACCATTCCCAAGTTTTCTTCCACTTCTGTAACAGGTAATTCATGTAACTCATGGCAGAGACTGAGTAGAAGACCCATGCCTCAAAATACAAGTACTTCCTCTGGCTCAGTAGAGAGACTGTTAGGCAAATTCACAGCAGCGACAATCCCAGTCTTGCAGACACAGTAAGCAGTTGGACCAGCTGCTTGTAAAACCTCATCTGGTGCTTGATTGGTTTGATTGATGCATTGGATTGATGCTTGTACGCTACAGGAATCACATAGTTGTCAACCAGATGTAAAAAAAAATATATATAATAATGATGGTGGTAATATGCTGGACAATTCAGCCTTACAAATAAGGCTTCAGTTATGATAAGCATGGTCTTACAATTCCATTATAGTAGGTCTCCTCCAGCTTTTCTTGATGGTACAAGTTCTTACCATAGTTTTCTTTGTGTCCCTTGATGGATTTATTAGTAGTTAGATCAAAGGAGTTGACTGCTAATTGGGGTTTTAGCAATTGCTCTACAGAAGCAGTGTGGAAGGATTCTTTGTTCCCATGTCTTTGTTCTTGATATGTGCAGTGGTCATCAAAATCTGCACACAGAAACTCAGCTCTGGGTCATAGTATGCTTGGCTGGTACCTTGGCAGTTGATGTATGTAGATTTGTCAAACTGTGCCTTTATTTAATGCCTCAATGGAGAGGGCATGATATAAAGGAGTTCCTTGAAACAAAATTTGCAAGCTGAGTTAAAACTATTTTTGTTGTTGTTTGTTTTCTTCTTTTCAGCTGCACCGAAATCTAAAGCTGTTGTAGCCAAAACCTCTGGCTTTGATGTGGGCAGTTTCATAGGTGGGATTGTGCTGACGCTTGGAATCCTAGTTGTTCTCTACGTGGGATGCAAAACATATCACTCTAGAAGAGGCATTCAGTACAGAACAATGTAAGTTTTAGATAGAGATTCTCTCATCAATTTATTACTGACTTGAAGGGAACAGGGACAAGGAGAACAAACTCTCTTACACCCCGGCCTCTTTCGTGACACGCGCTAGGCTCTTCCTGGCTCCATATCGCTGGCTTCCATGAAGTCTGGTGTCAGGAGGACTCTATATACATGCACATGTGCATACTTTCAGCCTTACTATTTGCTAGCATATAAACTATTCTGCCTACATCAGTACCCTTCATGTGCTGTTTGTTTACAGCATTTTTTTTGTGAATTAATTGCTCCATTTTCAAGACTACTGGTTCTTTCTGACACTGCTTCCTCGGCTCAGCTTAGCGATTTACTCTCTGACATTTCCCCCTTGACAATATTCTGTAGCAGCTCGATCTTCTACTACCTAAATGACATTGTGCTGGAACTCCTTCACCATCTGTCTTTCATACCACCTTTTACCTCAAAGCCTAATTAGAACAGCCAGTGTTGAACAATAATGGCTTAAGAAAGCTGAATATTAAATGGTTAGCTTTAACTGATTCATTTATTCATTATCACAGAAAGTTCTGAAACAGGTGTTTTTAAGCACAATATATGACTATGAATCTTTGTCCACGACTATGAATCTTTGTCCATCTTGCAAGTGAGGCAGAACAATTGGCTGATTTCTGCTATTTACTTTCTCCTCTTATCTTGTTCTCGGCTCCAGAAACCTGTCCATGAAATTGTATGTAGTCAATCTACTTTCAGAAGTTTTTACAAGTCCATGAAACTAGAGGAAGATACAGTCTTAGATGCAGAAATCTGTGGTGTAGGTCCCAAAGGTATGTGCTGGATCCTCACCTTAGGTCACTTTTCTGTTCAGATGAAAATTTCAACCTTTCTTGAGCTGCAGACTGCTAATGTTTTTCCTGTGGAGTGGAGGTCCCCAAAAGCCTATTGAAAGTAGACTTCCTTTTTTTTTCTTCTTTTCTTATCTTTTCAAATCCCTGAGAGCTTCAGACACTTTGTATTCAACAAGTTGAAAAATCCTGGTTCATCCACCAACTTTTTCCAAACAACTGATGTCTCTCAGTTGTTAGATTATTGGTAAGGGATTCTGTCTTGGATATGGTTCTTCTTTTTGGAGCTGCTTTACTGGTATTACTGGTCTCTTTTTCTCCTGCAGGATTAGCTTCTGATAGCACAACACCAGTTTGACATTTTAGCCTTTTATTGCATATCTTTAGCTTCTTACTGTATATCACTCCCTTTGTAATGAGAGCTATTAATTCAAATGATTAAGGAAATACTATTTTCTGATTAGTTTATCTTACTGTTTTACTGCAAAATTCTCTCTTTTGTCATTCATACTCAGCTCTACTCTGCTTTCTTCCAGGCTTGCCTCCTTGTCCCAGGCTTTGTTTAAGAACTGGAAATTCTTAAAACTAGGTTGCTTTTGTTTCTCCCTTTTTGAACATCATCCATCCCAACTGGAGAGGTTTTGTTTCAGCTGAGGTGATGTCACTGGACTTGCTGGGACCTGATAGTGTTCAGGCCTTCTGGTTTTTCTCCATCTTTGAACTCATGTTTGCTGGTCATGGGATTCAGGCAGTCCCTGACGCGTAACTCTAACAACAGTGCTGCTTGAATGGGTATTACAAAGGTCAGATCAGCAGTATCCTCTGAACAAAAGACTGGTAGCTGAGCTTGTCAGCTGGCTTTGATTAGCTGACACTGTTGGATACAGGCAAGAAAAGACAGGATAAAAATGTCTCAGGAGCTGCTGTTCTAAATGCATCTACTTGAACACTGTAGGAAAGTCCAAATGTGAGAGGCTGCAGAGTGTTGACAAAGTTACTTCCTTCAGGCTTGGCTCAGAGAAGGCTAAGCTCTGTGCTTAGCACTTAGAGCAGAAGAGCCTTTATTCTTGAAATCACCTTCCCAGCAGCAGCTGGGTGGCTGTGCTCCCATGCTGGCTGTGCTGTGCGCTGCAGAACACTGACTTCTGTGTTTCTGTTCCAGTGATGAACATGATGCCATCATTTAAAGAGGCTTCAGAGAAGGCAGCGGAGGAAACCCAACCTATCAATCAATCACAGCTGTTGTAACTTATGCTAAGAGTTCCTGTTACAGAGACAATCACAGCCTGTAAAGCTCTCTGTTGGGTCTGATCTTGCTGAGAATCTCTTAAGCATTCCTGTTTTTTTTTTTTTTTTTTTTTTTTTTTTTTTTTTGCATTGGCTTTGTTAAGAGCAGGAGAAATAGTACTTTTTTTTTTCTCCAGCATTTGTAATCAAATTTAAAGTGCACACTATGTCATTAAAGATGCACAAGCTTGTGTGAGATACCAATTCAGTAATGTTATGGATAATGTAATCAAAATTTTAAATAGGCTCAATTACAAAAAACAAGCAAACAAACAAACTAAACCAGGCTTTACAGAATGTGAGTGATAACTGGTGCTTCCCCTCGGGGTCGCTGCCGCCGAGCGCCGCAGAGCAGCCCCGGGCGCGCGGGGGCACAGCCTGGGCCGCAGGGCAGTAAGTCACCTCCGGCACCGCTTACTTACTCTTTTGTCCTGTTTTGTTAAGCAACAGTTTATTCTTCTCAAGACTTGCACTTTCATGAACCTTTAGAATTGCTGTGTGGTTTTTGCCTGTTTTTGTATAATCAAACCCGTCAGAGGCGCAGCAACTTCCAGCAACCCCTGGTTCAGCTGCGCGCCCGGTTTATCCAGCAGCACCAAGAGCTCACACACAGCTGGGCCTGCATGACTACTTTGTTTGGTGATTTCTTTTTACAGGTATGGGGGCGGGGGGATGAGTTGAAGCAGATAGATACTGTATTTTTTTCCTTTGGTTTTGTTCTTTTGGAGAAAACTGCTGTTTTTAATTTGAACAGTTTGGAAATAATTGTTCCATAGAACTGTAGCTCCTTACTTTCTCTGTAGAAATTAGAGTATTAAGTAAGTGCAACTGATTAGAGTTGCTGGGAATGTCTCACCCCTTTTGTACAGATAAATAAAATGATGTTTTTGCAGTTATATCATTTGTCTGTTTTTGATTCCCTAAAACATCTCTGAAACAGTAAACATTATATTTGGCATTTATAGTATATCCCTTTATGCCATTGTGACACTTTTTGCCTAGTGCTAGTAAGTTGAAATACTTTCTAATTTCACCACTACATTAAAGTGAAACTGTTAAGGCCTCAGAGGCCTCAGTACAAGACTGACCTCCTTGAGTACCCTCAAGGGCTAGCACAGAGACATCTTCCTCCTAACCTTGCATTTGCATTCTGAAAATAAATGAAAACCCAGTTTGAAAAATAGGAGCAAGAGTGCACTGGTGCAATGCAATAAAAACCTGGGGTGCAGGTTTAGACCTTGGACATGAACATTGCCCTACAGCTGGGGACTTGAACTGACCTGCACTCTGCCCAAGCCCAGGAATTGGCTCCATTGAACTGCATTCGGAAAGCCTGATGATTGTAGTTATGTTCCTCATTAAAGCAACTGAAATATTGTCACTTCTCTTCTGTGAAGAGAGAGTATTTGAAAGAATCTGCAGCAAGAAGCTAGAGCCTTTTAGACAAAAATCAGGAACAAAATACAGGACAAGGGCTCTTGTCTCATTGCCTGAAACCTAGCAGCATCCCAGGCACCTGGGATATAAACCATCTTATAATCTCAGTACTTCCTTATGGAAGGTTTTCCACCTTTATCTCATGGGTGATCAATAATCTAATTTCCATCATAAGTTTGTGCAACATAATCTAACATAACATAAAAGGGCCCTGCCCTTTCTGGCCCTATTTATACTAGAGTCAGAGTCCTCCAGCTGTTTCTTCACGATCTAAATGAATTCCTCCTTTGCTGAGGGAGGCTCTGCCGTTCCCTGCTTTGCCTTAGTGCCGTTCTCCAGGGAGAATCACACTTTGTTCCAGCCCTCCAGCAGCGCTGCCCGTGCAGGGCGGCTCAGGCGTTTGGCTGCAGGAGGAGCCCTCTGGGGCCCAGCAGCCTTCGGGGGACAGGGGCAGCTCTTCAGCAGTTCACAGTATCCCTCCGGGCACTGAAAATCCTCAAAGCTCCGGCTCCTGTGCTGCATATTAAAAGTGATCTCATTTTTACTATTTCACTTCTGAATTATTAACAAGGTTGTATTATTAATCTCTAAAAGCCTGCCCCATCTCTTTTGAAACCTACTTTCATAACATCCTTTTTTCTTTGCTCAGAGATTGTCAAAACCCTTGTAGATTTATGCTCTTTTTTGTGCAGACATAACATTCTTATTTGCTTTATTGAATAATAAAATAAAAATAATAGAAAAGCAACAAAAATGACATTTTGCTATAGTGCAAATATTGCCAAAAACAGAATAGGAAAAAAATGTCAGCAAAATTTTGCACAGATAATTATCTAGGTAAGAACTGGGCTGTGGTAACGACACAGCAGAGGCCAAGGGCAGGGGTAAGCAGTGCCCTGTTGACACTGCTCAGCCACGGAGCCTGGGCCTCCATCAGCCTCGCTGGGGGCTTTTGACCAGCAGGGTACTCTTACCAAAGACTGGTCAAGATGTCAGAGTCAGTAACTCTGAAAATTGAAAGAACAAAAGGGAGGATAAGCTCAGGCTGCTTGAAACAACCTCTTCTGGGAGAAGACCAAGAGGGAATCTAAGTTCTCCCTCCACCTCTCCAGGTGTTTGCCTAGTCATTCCCTACCACCCTGCAAGGGCAGGGCAGCTTAGAGTGCAGCTGCATCTATGCAGCACTAGGATGAAAGGTGCTTCTGAAGTGTTGTGACCTAACTCAGCTTCACCCAGTTAAACTGCTTTGAGCTCAGGGTGGCACCCAAAGCCAAGGTCAGGGCAGGAGCTGCTACCTGGGAGAGCAGGAAGCAGAACAGGATGAGCTGGGGAGGGGGCCAGAGCATAAGGGGCTATTTCTGCTCACACACCTTTAATTGACTTCAAAGATTTTAAACCACCTTCAACTGATACCAGGAGAGTAAAATCATGTTCAGAAGTGATCAAATCCTCTGTAATCATGTACAGAACAAGTTGAGTTCAGTACCACATTTAATTGTACACTAATTGCATAAAGATATTATTAATTCAGTTTGTCTTCTGGGCATTTCTTCCCCAGCATTTCTAAAGAAAGTCACCCAGTGAAAAGGCCTCTGCTATGTTGTTCCTTACTGCACACACAAGTTCATGTTCTGTACTTGGAATGGCTGTTGAGAAGAACTTGCCTTTTATGAAAATAGTACAGCAGAGTCCACTCTTGTGGAGCTTTCTTCACAGAAATACAGAATATCCCAGGCTTACTCGGAAGGGCCTCAAACCAGCAGCAAGTCAGAGAAAGATGCACTGGGGCTCCAGTACTAGCTGTGATCACTTTTGATGTTATGGAAGGGTAGTGTGGAAACTAAAGAATCAGGGTCTGAGCGCACAGCCCACTGGAGTTACTGAACTAGTAACATTTTTGCTTATCACCACCAAGCAGAAAAGTGCTTTTTGCCTGTTTTTTGTAGTTACATTTATGGGTTTCCTAGGTGTTTCACACATGGCCATACCTTTCCCCAGACAAAAGCAGTGCTGCATTATGATTGTCAGTCTAATCACTTGTGGGCACTAGCATTGAAGGCTGCCTTCAGCCAGAAGAGAAAAGCCTCTTGGTCAATGCTCATAAACAAACTGAGAACTATAAGCATTCAATTAAAATAAAAACAGGAAAAGGCAAAAAAATTGTCAAGGAACCTTTTCAGCGATTGTATCACAAAAAACACCCCCCCGCCTCACACACCCCCACACAGAGCTGCTGCAGGTGGAGCTGTTGCATCTTGCAGCATCTCAGACCACTATCGGAAGCCACGGCTTCTCGGAGCTAGGTTCTTTGCACCATCTTTCTAGTAAAGGATTTGCCAATTGCTACAGCAGAAACTATCACCTACCGTCCTGCAGCAGAGATGGGTGTGGGATGGAGATGACCGAGGTGCTTCCGGACAAGCCACCCAACAGCCCCGCACAGCCCCGCGCTGCGGCTGAGCAGCGGAGCCGCGGGAAGCCGGGGCTGTTCATCACCGTCTCCTGGAACACTCCCCTAAAACAGGTCACCAAAAGTTTAATGGAAAATAAACTGTTCCCCTTGTTCCTCTGTCAGCACTGCCAAAATACACTTCTCTAACGCACTTCCAAAGCTTTTACTCAGATTTTGAAGGCATTGATCATGTTTGTGTTTCATTCCATGTTCAGCTAGTTCACAAAAGTAACAGTCACTTGAGCTTCCTCAGGTCTTATAAGTCCCATGAGAAAGATTTAAAAGTAAAATCCCGATTCATTCCCCTTCACCAAGACAATAAAGCAAAACTACTTCAAAGCCATCATCTCCAGGATTTTTAAAGGTATTCTAGCTCAGAAGGAACTGCACAAAAACACAGGGCAGAGCCATCTGAATGCATTTTCCCCCCCCTCCTTGGCACAATCCCCCTCACTAAATTTAGCGATTTGTTACTATTCAAGGAAGCATTCAAAAACTTAACCAAACAGCATCTCAGTCACATGCTTAACTCAAGAATAGTCTGGCCCACTTGGCTGGCTTTAGTCTGATTCGACTCTACAGCTGAAATTATATAAGAAATAAAACATGCTGTTAATTCCAAAGAGTCTAAACACCAAATGCAGGGGAACTACCCCCAAATCCCCCCGGCAGACCCAGGGATATGAAAGCAAGGGTAAAGTCAACCACTAAAAGTCACCAGATGACCAGCTTGCAAAACCAGCCAAGGCTCCAAAGGGGGCTGGGAGATGCATGTAGCTTGTGAAATCGCTGTAAAGTTTCTAAATAATGCAGAAAATAAGTTTTATACATTTTAATTTTTAGCAGTTTTACTGCTGTAAAGCTGCCCTCTGCCTTGTCTCTAAGGAAAACCATTGCTGAGCCAGGATTTCTGTTCTATAAAATAAGGAGAGAGTTCCCAGCATTGTTACTCTTGCTCCTTTTTTATTCTAAGAATCTGAGGTCCCTGCTTTGCTCAAGGGAATTACAAAGCACTAAGAAGTCCACTTCTCTGTTCAAAATTAATAGAACACTGACACAGAAATAAAACTGTTATTCTTTTCCTAACAAAGTTAAAAGTCTTACGTCAGCAAAAGAGCATTTTCTAGTTCCACAGCCTACAGAGAAAAGCAACAATGGGTACAACTGAAAACAAACAACCATCATTTGGAAGTAAAAATATTTTAATTCAGTCTCCATATAAACTATTATTAATATACATTACACAAAACTCTAAACACAGCAGAATTAAGTAAATATCTTGCTGCTCCCAAGTGGGTTAACCTGTCTTTCCTCACCCAACCGCCCAGGAGAGCCACCACCAGCCAGGAGCTGCAGGTTACTGTCACTAAGTGCCATGTCAGCTGCATTGCCTCCCCTCTGTGTGCAGGGGGACTCAGGAGACAGGTGCCAAGCTCCATTTCAGCAGCTTGAACAGAAAACACTTCACTCAAGCTGGCCTAAGGCCACCCTTGGGGAACTGCTTTGCCTATTCAGGGAAGAAACTAGTTAAGACTTCACGTCACTATTGAG